GTTATACGGTGCATATTATTTTCTTTAAAAAACACATCGTTATGTGAATTGATCGCTAAACGAGGCACTCGTTAAGCGAGGCACCACTGTATCAGCCAATAATTCCCTAAATCTACAAAAATTGACTTTCTTGAAGTCTAGAATGCTTGTTATCAATAAAATAAAAACTCATGAATATTGTGGCCTGGATTAAGAATACAGAACCAATCAATACAGAACCTACTGCATCACAAGCTGTCTCCAAAATTACCTGCATTTGTATCGTTTTACCAACAAAAAAAACACTTTTGTAGGAATACTGGAGGAAAGCCCTTTACCTTTGTGATACATCCTGAGGAGACCTTTAGTCAGAATCTTGGAGGCACTGCATATGAAGCAGGGCAGAGATAAAATTCAGTCCCTAACTTCAACAATGGGCTCTTAGGCTGCACTCCCAGATTTGAGAGTACTTGGAGAGAGTGGTGTTACAAGTACAGTTCCTCCACTGAGACGCAAAGGGAAAGGAAGGGAAACAAAAGTGCATGTCACTACATTACCTATGCAACATGGAAACACCTCCCTGTTCCCAGAATGCACTTTAGTCTGCTTTTTGTATGGCCCCAACATTTGCAATCAGTAACAGGAAAACCTCCTCAAACTGGTTTGTGTTTGAAACCTCACCTCCAGTGCTGTTTGGCAGTCACACTTTTTGAACTCACTTTGAGGATCAGATGGGCACAGACAACAGCCTGGAATTTTGGGGACTCACATGCACTGTCCATAATATTTTGGTGCATAGGAAAGTGGATTTACACTGAAAGCTATCTGTTCTATTTTTTTAGTGGTCCAGTAATGATACTGTATCACCTGCCTTCGCCTGTGTATCACATAAGGGTCACATGGCTCTGTCTAGTCTTTTTTAAAAACAGAATCTGGATTTGTTGCAGTGCCTAATTGCTGGGTTTATGTGTTTATTAGATAGTCTGCTATTGCTTGTGGGTAGACATGTTAGATTAGAAGGGTGTTTTTAACCAAGGTCAGGCCTATTGTTCTGTGATTTATGAGAGAAAAACTAAAGACACAATCTAAGATTGTTTCAACAAGAAGGAAAAATGGGAGATGTCTAAAGAAACCAGAATGGTTGACTAAAGAACTTTCAACTCAGCTAAGTGTAAAAAAAAACATGTACAAGAAATGGAAAAATGGGGAAAGCACCAAAGAGGAATACAAGCAAATAGCCAGTACATGTAGGGCCATGGTAAGAAAAGCTAAAACACAGCACGAATTTAGGCTTGCTAGAGAGATTAAAGATAATAAAAAGGGATTTTTAAGTTGTCAGCAGTAAAAGGGAAAAGAAGGAGACGATAGTGTCGCTGCATGGAGAAGATGGCCAACTACTAACAGAGGACAGGGAAAAGGCTGAACTTCTCACCATTTTCTTTGCCTCAGTTTTTTTCCATAAACAAAAAGAGTGCTCAACATGAGGGACAAATAGCAGGTAAAGTAGTGTGGGAAATCCAGCACAGAATAGTACAGGATTACCTGGCTACCTTGGATGAATTTAAGTCTCCTGGGCCAGACGAATTACATCCAAGGATATTAAAAGAACTGACAGAAGTAATATCAGAACCTTTGGCAATGATCTTTGAGGATTCTTGGAGAACAGGGGAAGTCCCCACAGATTGGAGAAGGCCAAATGTTGTCCCTATCTTCAAAAAGGGGAAAAAAGAAGACCGAAATAATTATCACCCAGTCAGCCTGACATCAATTCCCAGAAAAATTCTAGAGCAAATCATTAAACAGACAGTTTGTTATTACTTAGAAAGCAATGCTGTCATCACTAAAAGTCAACATGGGTTTCTTAAAAACAAGTCATGCCACACTAATTTGATCACTTTTTTTGATAGAGTTACAGGCCTGGTGGATGAAGGGAACGCTGTAGCATATCTTGATTTCAGTAAGGCCTTCGACAAGGTTCCTCACAATATTCTTGCAAAGAAGCTAGTAGAATGTGGAATAGATAGGGCTACTGTTAGGTAGATTTGTAATTGGTTGTCCAAACCCAAAGGCTGATCACAAATGGTTTCCCTTTGTCCTGGAAAGAGGTGACTAGCGGGGTGCCCCAGGGTTCTGTTCTGGGTCCCATGTTATTCAACATCTTTATCAATGACTTGGATGAAGGAATAGAGAGTATGTTGATTAAATTTGCAGATGATACCAAATTGGCAGGGGTTGCTAATTCCCTAGGGGACAGGATTAAAATTTAAAATGACCTTGACAGATTAGAATCCTGGGCTAAAACTAACAAAATGAATTTCAACAGGGAGTAGACATGGTCTAGAGGGGCGGGGTATAAATTTAATAAATAAATAAATAAATAAGGTCCTACAGCTACAGTAGGCAGAATAAAATGAACTGCACAGATCTAGGATGGAAGACACCTGGCTAGACAACAGTACCCGTGGAAGGGATCTAGGTGTCTTGGTAGACCACAAACTGAACATGAGTCAGCAGTGTGATGCAGCTGCCAAGAAAGCCAATGCAATTCTTGATTGCATCAATAGGAGAATAGTGTCTAGAACAAGGGAAGTGATAGTACCACTCTATTCTGCTTTGGTCAGACCTCACCTGGATTATTGTGTCCAGTTCTGGGCACCTCAATTCAAAAAGGATATTGACAACCTGGAATGTATCCAGAGGAGGGCGACTAAAATGGTTAAAGGTCTGGAAGCAATGTTTTACAATGAGTGGCTTAGGGAGTTGGGAATGTTTACTTTACAAAAAGAAGGTTGAGAAGGGACATGATAGCCATGCTTAAATATTTGAAAGGATGTCAGGTTGAAGAGAGGTTTGTTTTCCAGGGCTGCAGAGACTAGGACACAGAGCAATGGTTTCAAACTACAGGAAAAGAGATTCCATTTGAGCATTAGGAAGAACTTCCTGATGGTCAGAGCTGTCTGGGAGTGGAATTGGCTGCCTCGAAGGGTGGTGGACTCTCCTTCTTTGGAGGTTTTTAAGCAGAGGCTCGATGGCCCATCTGTTGGGAGTACTTTGATGGATGTTCCCACATGGCGGGGGGTTGGACTGGATGGCCTCAGCGGTCTCTTCCAACTCTATGACTCTGTGACTCTGTACTGCCTCATTAGTGCAGAAGCACTATTGCCTGCCACATAAACTTATCAAGCATTTTCTCATGGCAACCCTGGCGTCAGTTTTAATACTTTGGTGGAGCAAGTAGATCTGAAGAAGTTTCAGCAATGCTGTCCTATCAACTCTTGCAACACAATTGGAGGAATTAATATTAATTGTGTGCTCTTAATTTATCTGTTCATCCTCTAATGAGATACGCACCGTCCACTGCCATCAAGGTGCTCTGTTATACATCCTGGAGAGACATGTCATTCTCTGAGCAAGAAAATAAATGTGTATAAGTAGATCAGACAGTATGAAGGGTACCATTCAGAAGCTAGAATAAGAACACAGCAGTCTGCCTGGACTTCTTTCCCATTATCAGAGTATAGCTAAATAAAAAGCTTTATCAGCAGAAAAGCTATTGTAAATAAGAAAAGAACAGAGTGACCTATATATGAACTTCCTGATATCCCTTTCCCTGTACTGTTCCTGTGGACCTGCTGATTTTTTTAAGGATTATCTCTCTGTCGGCCAATTAGGATAACACCATGCATTTCTTCAACTGAGCTGTGCTCCCCAGAAGTGTGCGTTATAGTGTGTGTATGTGTTGTCAATTGAATTTCATTAAACATAATCACCAATTGACTTGACACATTTCATTGGCATCATAAAGCAGGTAATCAGTTTGGGATGTTTGTGTGCGTGTGCGTGTGCGTGTGCGTCTCTGTCGGCCAATTAGGATAACACCATGCATTTCTTCAACTGAGCTGTGCTCCCCAGAAGTGTGCGTTATAGTGTGTGTATGTGTTGTCAATTGAATTTCATTAAACATAATCACCAATTGACTTGACACATTTCATTGGCATCATAAAGCAGGTAATCAGTTTGGGATGTTTGTGTGCGTGTGCGTGTGCGTGTGCGTGCGTACTTAGATCAGTTTGGGATGTTTGTGTGTGTATGTGTGCGTGTGCGTGTGCGTGCGTACTTATTATGCAGATATGCATACATAGAAATACACTGAAATATTCTGTGAAGAGTCTGGGATTACACTAAGTACTGTATTTTTCGCAGCATAAGACACTTTTTCACCTAAAAAAGGGGGGGAAGTGTGTGCATCTTATGGAGCGAATACTGTCCCCCTCATGCCACCATCGCTGGCTTCTGAGGCCTCCAGAGGCCCCGCGGGGCCTCCCCACGCCACCACCGCTAGCTTCTGAGGCCTCCGGAGGCCTCAAGGCCCCATGGGGGCCCCCCCCAGGCCACCATCGCTGGCTTCTGAGGATGTCCTGGATGCTTTGGACCAGTAAGGTGCTGCTTTTTACTTTTTTAAAAAATGTTCTGGGTGGGTTTTGGAGGGTAGGTTTGGGCTGGGGGGTATGTTTCTATGTTGCTTTGTTTTTTGGTGATTATTTTTAATTTTTTTATTATTATTATTATTTTGCAGTCCCAGCGTGGGACTTGCTCTGTTTATTTATTTTTATTTTATTTTTATTTTTATTTTTGGTATTTAAAAATTGGGTGCATCTTATGGCCAGGTGCATCTTATGGAGCGAAAAATACGGTAGTTAATATGGTTTGCCAATATGTTGCCTTAACCATATCATACAATGGTACATTGTATTATACTAATAAACAGAACAGCACATGATTCTCATTTTTAAGTGTTAAAAAGTGTTTTTTCTACTATATTTAAGTGCAACAGGCTCACAGTACTCCTCCTCTATAGGAATGGTCAAGTACCATGTCTCTGGTGGCTGGCACTGAACTTTATTTTGGATCATTTTTTAAATATTAGAATGAAACAACATTTGGTGATTCTGTTGTGATGCCAAATGGATATTTTAATATCGCTATGATTTCTGTCCCACCCCACCCCTGATCTGTTACAGACAACAGTCATTGATTATGTGAAGCCATCAGACCTTAAGAAAGATATGAATGAGACCTTCAAAGAGAAGTTTCCTCACATCAAGTTGACACTCAGTAAAATAAGAAGGTACCCAATACCATGCAATTGTCTTTTAATATAGTTGATACATGAAGCTAAAATATCAACAGTAGATTTTCTAAAACACCGTATTTCAAAGTCAGAAAACAAACCAGCTGCTTGTTGGAAACTGAGTAGATAAGAGAAAAAGCATACTGAAATAAGTATATATTACCTGTTTGCAATGTTTTAAAGAAAATAGCTAAATATCCAGAAAGGTCACAGAGACATAGATGTAATTAAAGCCATAATTAAAAAGGACTTGTTTCCTCTTATCTCCAGAAGAAGCAGATTAGCAATGTATGATGTAATGAAACTAAAACTGTGCTTATTGTAACTGTGTTTTGATATGAGGAAGAATAGTCTTTTAGCGTTGCACTGAAGGAGCCTGAATACAAAAAAATTATGTCCAGGTCAGTGATGGCTCTTGACTGGCGCAGGGGGTGCCTCCAGTGAAATTCTGAGGTGGGGCATCTCCTGTCCTGGTCCACAGCCTTGGGTACATAGGTGAGGAAATAGATGGACATAGGGGCATTTAGCTCAGTGTGAGTACACCAGCATCTGATCTCAAGAGTTCACTGCAAGGGGTTAGTGCAGCAAGTCAGTCCATTCCCTAGCAGTCCTGCTGGGTGGAAAGGGGCAGCTGTGGAAGGGCTGGCAGAAAGCTGAGCTTTGAAAATTTAGTTTTTGGGATTATAGCCCCAGAACCCTCCAGTCATTATGGCCAGTGATCATTTTGACTAGGAAATTCTGGTAACTGTAATCCAAACTTTGCTAAATTCTAAAGATAAAGAGAGATGGAGTGATCTACTTTCCTTTGGGCTATAGCTTTGCCCACCACAGCTCTCTATTTCTGACCTAAGAGTTCTTGTCGTTCTTAGAGTATGAAATGCTTGCTTTTTCTGACATGAATATTCACGAATCTTGTTATGTTTGACCTGCAATGAATTAATCACTCCTGAGATTGTAGGCCACAAATGAGATTGAGCTTTCAGGTTTAGCTAGAACAGCAACCTAGTTAAGAAGCAGGAGTTCCTCTAAGACTCACAAATGATCTTTTGCTGATATTCAGGAGACTCGTGACAGTTTCACACATGATACAGTTGTATACGGAGGACTATCAAGAGCTGGTTGGATAGATCGATGAGTTATTTGCTGCCAGAGAAGTCTGTAACTCAAAAAGTCTGTAAGTCGAGCCATCTGTAAGTTGAGGGTCCACTGTAATCACTCCTGAGATTGTAGGCCACAAGTGAGATTGAGCTTTCAGGTTTAGCTAGAACAGCAACCTAGTTAAGAAGCAGGAGTTCCTCTAAGACTCACAAATGATCTTTTGCTGATATTCAGGAGACTCGTGACAGTTTCACACATGATACAGTTGTATACGGAGGACTATCAAGAGCTGGTTGGATAGATCGATGAGTTAGATATCAGGCTGCAGAGCCAGAGACTAAGAGTTCAGTTCCCCACTGTATACCACTTCTGAGTACTCTACCTTGCCATTGACTTGACGGCACACAATTACTATAATTAAATAGCAATGAAATGAAAGCTACTTGTTGTTCATCAGCAACCTAAGCCACTAGCATTAGCAGTGTATGGCAGTGAACAGTGAACTACAAATGTTACTGCTCTTCACACATTTGCATAGGTCAGTTTCTCAAGCAAAAATGGAAAAGCAGCAGCTGAGGATTTAGAACAGGACTTCTACAAGTCTTGGGGTCATTCTTTCACTCCAGAATTTGCAGAAACTGAAAAAAAAAAAGAAGAAGAAGAAATGTGTGGACAGATGTGGTGGATAAAACTAAGTTTTGGAAAGAGGGGAGAATACCATTTAGTACTGTATCAATCAATCTCTGGCTTTCTTTGTACCTTTCCTGCCCTGTTTTAGCCTGAAGAGAGAGATGCGCAAGCTAGCTCAAGAAGAGTGTGGTTTTGAGGAACCCACTGTGGCGATGGCTTTCGTCTATTTTGAAAAACTTGCTCTGAAGGGGAAACTCAACAAGCAGAACAGAAAGCTCTGTGCTGGAGCATGTGTCCTACTAGCTGCCAAAATTGGCAGTGACCTCAAAAAGCATGAGGTCAAACATCTTATAGATGTAAGTACCACCCAAACATGGTCACGAAACAGGGAAAGAGGATGTGTGGAACGATGCATTTGATAAAAAAATTTATTAAACTGAATAAGTTTCCATTATATCAAGGGAAGGACCCCTCTCCCGAGAATGGTGTAACCACCCTGATTGTTTTGGATTCCAACTCCCCTGATCCCTGGGCAAGATAGCTGGTAGTCAGACATTATGGGAATTGGATCCCTCAGCAGCTGGAAGGTCATGGGTTCCTCACCTCCGTGCTGTATCATTTATTGACATTTTGCCTGAAAAGCCATTGAGATGAGCAAAAGACATCTCTTTTAACTTTTAAACAAGATTGGGAAATATTATTTCATATACTGGCATGTGACTGATATTCTGGTGGTGCTAAGATAGGTCTCTTTGTGTTACAGAAACTGGAAGAGAAGTTTCGGCTGAACAGGCGAGAGCTGATTGCCTATGAGTTTCCTGTGTTAGTGGCCTTGGAATTTGCTCTCCATCTACCTGAACATGAAGTGATGCCGCATTACAGACGTTTGGTCCAAAATTCCTAGCACAGGCTACCCTTCCAAGGATGGGGAGGGGTTTCAAAACTATTTTCTGTCGAGCTCCAAAGAGCAGCTGTCACTACTGGAAATGCAAAAATGGGATGCGGATGCCCTCAGCCCCCTTTATACTTTTTTTCTGTGCAGCTTTTCAACAGGATACTAGGAATGAAGCATTACATTCCTTATGACTCTCAGGCTAGATGAACTATTCAACTACTCAGTGCAAATGATGAACAGGTTTCATGCGAGTGAACTGTGGGTGGAACAGATTCGTATTACATGGACCAAATGAGAACTTCCTTGAGTTGTCCTTATCTTTTTTGCAGAGATCAGCAGCAGCCTTCAACACACACTTCTTTTTAACTATTTCATTTGCATAGTTGGAATTTCATCACCTTTCCTACAAGCAGCTGGTTTCTAATGTATGAAATAATCCCTCAAGCAGTGATGAGTTGTGGTACATATCTTCACTGTGTCAACGATGTGCCAATCTATTTTTGTATCTCTTCACTGAAAGTGCACTTTTCCTTGTTGGTGGGTGGGTATATTGTTTAATTGTAAACAGGGCAATGGACAGGTTTAAAACCAGGCAGTAGCTTTGCATCGTTTGTGTTTACTAAAATATAAGAGAATGTTTCTCAGTTTGCTTAAACAAAACTACTGAAAAGGAGATATGGGTGTACAGGTATTTGAAATCTCTAAGTGATACGCTGTAATCTCTGATGGTTTGATTCTCCATCCCACCCCACCTTCTTTTGTTCTCTAAAAATTACACTACTTTTTAAAGAAGAAAGATGATAATACAAACAAGTGAGAAATTGTTGACCAATCTTTCCACTTTTGTATATGATGGTGTTCTGATGTTGAGTACTGAAAAGAAATGTCATTTTATGGGAATCTTGTTTTAAGCCACGTGGGTATTTCTAACCTCTGCACTTTTCCCTTGGTGGAGATGGTTAGACTTGCACTCTGTAGTGTTTGTATTTTGTGCTCTATGTTAGAGTGCATTCTGAGGCACATTGATGGTGCTGTATTGTTTAAGCAGTGTTTTCTAGAACCAACTTGTACAACCAAGAAGCAGAATTTGACAGCTGAGGGCTTTGACAGCAGACACACCACTCAGTGTGGGTAATTCTTGTTGTTGAGTTATTGTTGTTTTTAAATAAAATTATCTGTACAACATCAAATTTGAAAGCAGGGGCCACTAAAAGAATTCCTTTTTTATATTTCTCAGATGTTTCACTATATTACAGTATCTTAACACTGTTTGTAAATTACAAAGTCCCCAAACAGAACTCCTTCTATTGCATTCTTTTTTTCTACATACCTGTACGTGTGTACAATTATATATAAAAACTTATGAGAAGACGATGACAGCTGGATGTGCTTGGTATTATACTAGAGGACATGCATTAAATAATTAAATTACTATTTTTATACATACTTAATGTACATGTCCCAGTTTTTCCAGTGCTGATCCTCTTGACAGAGTCTGTAACTGGCATAATGATTGCAAGGCTGTTTTATAGTGTAATGCAAATTAATCAAACAATAGTTGCATAAACATTGCCAGACCCTCTCCCTTTCTATCAGGCATGAGTGATGCATTGACAATAGTAGACATGAGGAGGGAAAATAGAACAAACATTCAAATACAAAAATGTATTCTGTTTTAATTCTCACAGAATTTAGGAAAATTGACTTAATTGTTGCAGGTAACCAGCTTCTTTTCCACTTTCAGATATTGTTCCAGTGTCTGATTTCACCCTTGAAACAAAGCACCGTTTACTGTATAAGTTCATACTTTATTCCTCCTAAAGTCTTGCAGCTGCTTCAGCCATGAGTCTTTGATTGTACAAGTCAGGAAGCCATGTCCTTCTTGGAGACTCTTACAGCATGTAACAGCATCAAATGTGGAATATACTTCATTGTGTGCTTGTACAATCCAAAGGCACACTAAAAAAGCAGTGAATGATGAACCTCTAAGGGTCAGGAAGAATAAAAGAATGTTAAAAATAAAAATTGATCAATTTTAGAATTCCATCACAGTTGCCCTCTGCCCCTTGCACACATTCTTGTAAGCAGGACTGAGGAATATAGAAAAATATTAGATACTTTGCTAGTCTGAAAGCAGCCCATGGGAAATTTTCAGTGAAATTAAGGGAAGTTATATTTTCTGCTGGTACATTTCATTATAGCCCAAGAAATATATATTCAACATGCCCTCAAGACAAAGCTTATCCAATACAATTAAGTTGGGATCCAACTTTGGGACAGAGAGGAATTTGACTTAGGCAGCAGTCCTGCGCCGATCTGAAGGTATGTACTGCTGAGCAGAATGGGATTTCTATTGATAGAACTATTGGATAGCTCAGTGGCATCTGGCTGTAGAACCAAATGTTGGGAGTACAATTCCCCACTGTGTTTCCTTGATGGACTAGATGCGATGATCCATAGGGTCCCTTCCAGCTTTGCAGTTCTAAGATTATTATTATTACCAGTAAACATGCAAGTATTGAACAATGCATAATCACAGAATAATGGAGTTGGAAGGGGCCTATAAAGTCATTGAACCCAATCCCCTACTCAATGAAACAATCCAAATCAAAGTATATCTGACAGATGGTTGCCTAATTTTCTCTTCAATGTTGGAGCACTCACTACCTTCTTAATTCATTCCATTGTCATATTATTCTAACAGTTGGAAAGTTTTTCCTGATACTCAACTGATATCTGGATTCCTGTAACTGGAGCCCATTATTACATGTCCTGAACTGTGAAATAATCAAGAACTGCACAGTCAAGTATTGAAGAGTGCTATCTCCTGTCTCAGTCTTCTTTTTTCAAAGCAAAGCATACCCAGTTCAATCTTTCCTCCTAGAGCTTGGTTTCCAGGCCCCCCTGAACATCCTTGTTGTACTCCTCTAAATTTGTTCCAGTTTATTGGCATTCTTCTTAAAGTGCAGTGTCCAGCACTGGACACAGTACTCTAGATGATGCCTAACAAGTGCTGAATAGACGTACTTCACAGGATTCTGGAGACTATTGTTAATGCAGCCTAAAGTAGCATTTGCCCTTTTTGCAGCCACATCACACTATTTCCTCATGTTCAGTTTGTGATCTGCAACAATTCCAAGATCCCTCCCACTTGAAGCATTCCTGAGTCAAATATCCTCCATCTTCTAACTGTGGATTTCATCCCCTTTCTGTATAAATTAAAAGAGAAAATTCAGCAGAGTTCACTTTGGAGAATATAGTGAAATCATAGTGAGTCAAAACCGACAGCCTGATTAAGCTGTGCTATGTCATTCTTTGTTGCATGGATGTATTGGAAAGAATTATGAATTGCTAAACAGAAGGAAAAAGTGTTTTTAATTTTGTATTCCATGGCCTGGGGTTAACTTTCTGAATTCCAAGTAAAGGCTTTGAGGAGAATTCATTCCATTACTCTTCAGAATATTTTGAGATGATATATTGTGTGTTATATTATATGGATTATCTACTTACAGAAATTATTCACCCCATTACAAGTTAGACTGTTCAAAATCTCTGTCTATGGGCTTAAACAAATTGTATGATGGGGGGGCAGCACCATGTTATTAAGATTAAATGGATTATGTTAGCTCACTGTAGTACCATTATATCACAAAAAAGTTTGACATTAAATATAAATTTAAAATTACATAACACAATTGTAGAAGAAAAACGATTTCCATTAGCATGAGAGTGCAGCATCCTATCAAGTGATGGATGCTGTTCACAAAGATAAAAAGGAATACCATACAAATGATGATAATACAGCAGGACCATGGCTATGGCGTGGTAACTGCACCAAATTTAGAGACCTTGGTTGTTTCCTCAAACTTGGAGAGACTGGTCAAGCAGCCTAGCCTACTGATACAGTAAAAGACAGCAGTAGACCAGGCCAGTGGTTCCAATCTTGAGTGCCCAGATGTTCTTTCACTAAGGCTCCCAGAAGCCTTCACCATTAACTCTGCAAGTCAAAATTTATGTGAGTTGTAGTCTGAGAACATCTGGTTGGATATACTGGACCAGGCCTCTTGAGTCAAACCAATTTTTGGGCAGGATGCTTTGTCAGTAAATGAAGCCACCAATGGGGAGCAAAGAATAGGCGATTGATACACCAGGCCCTGCAGAGCACAGCAGGTGTATCCATGACTCTGGCCAAGACTGAAGTGAAGGTAGTGTCCTGACAAAGGGCCGGTCTGATCTGATCATGCAGGTCCCAATAGACAAGGCATCTGGGTTGGATAGGGAGTGCAGTTTACACTGCACGTTCTGGCTGCCAAAATTGCTAGTTACCACTGTGCAATAATAGTAGTAGTTCCAACATAGAAAATAAATAACCTCTTTAAAGACCATTTGCAGTTATGAAGAGAGACTCCAGCTGCTATCCTTTGATACATTTTTCCTTGTTAATTTACAATAGCCTCACCAGACCCAGCTCAAAACCCTTTAAGTGTGATGGGGCTACAACTCCCAGCAGCCCCAGGCAGCATGTGCCAGCTGGAAATGATGGGGGTTGTAGCGCCAACATATCTGGAAGGCACCATGTTTGAGAAGACTGATTTATAGGAAAAGATCAAACTACATCTAATGTCTCCCATCTATTAAAGAAGAGGGCTAAGAACTGTTTTTTGATTTTGCTGATTACGGCCAGCCTTTTAATAGGAAGCCAAAGCAGATTATTTTGCAAAGATTTCGTATATTTCCCTTTGAAGCTAGCTTTGGCATTATGCCCTTGATACCATAAATTGTATATATTCATACAATACTTTAGAGAGAGTGTGTGTGTGTGTGTGTTCCTGACTTGGCAGCAAAGTACATGGTTTGGATCCAAAAGGGTCCAAAGTTCCATCCTATTGAAATCTCTAGTTACAAACATCTGAAAACCCACTTGATATTGTTGGGTTAACTGTACCAATGAGTTGGTTCTGTATAAAGCACAGATCAGGCATACAGCATCATTTCTTGTTCCTGGAGGAGAATAACAGGCTTATGCATGCCAACCCTATCAACATACCCAACAGGAATGAGAAGTTGGTCTACAGAGGTGCAGATGTATGTATGTAGTTGAGCTCCATGTGAATGAGAAATTTGGGGTTGATATCAGGATCTCCCATTGAATGAGCTCACACGCAGATGTCAACAAAAAAGAAAGAAAGCACATTCAAAACCCAGATCACAAAAAAAAACACACTGGAGCAGAAAGCAGATTGTTCCACATGACTAAAATCTGTTCTCCATTAACAAGCTTTTTTCAATCAATCTGTATATCCATAAATTCCAACATTCCAGATATAAGCAAGTGTCTTTCTAAATCAAAATTAAGACCAGGCGCTGAATATAAAATCCTTTATTCATAATGGTAAGAAATCACAAATAGTGCTCAATGCCAACTTCTGAATTTCTTCAAAAGGAGTCTGTATCTTGCTATCCTTTAACAGTTGTTGTTATGTTTTGTGCCTGATAGTTCTGTTTTTGAACTTCAACCAAGAATTTAAGAAAATGGTACAGACTTTGTTTAAAAAGGACAGCCTGGCCTCAACATGTGGCCATGATGAAGTTTGGGATTTTGCTGCTTCTTCTGAACAGTGCCTTGTGCTCCCTCATCAGATTGATAATGCCCAGCCTGATGAAAAGACATTCAGCAGTTGAAAGCTTGCCTGTTTATGAGATAAAGATAATCTTGCTATCCTTTAATAGTTGTTATGTTTTGTGCCTGATAGTTCTGTTTTTGAACTTCAACCAAGAATTTAAGAAAATGGTACAGACTTTGTTTAAAAAGGACAGCCTGGCCTCAACATGTGGCCATGATGAAGTCTGGGATTTTGCTGCTTCTTCTGAACAGTGCCTTGTGCTCCCTCATCAGATTGATAATGCCCAGCCTGATGAAAAGACATTCAGCAGTTGAAAGCTTGCCTGTTTATGAGAGCTCAGTGGTCTAAAGAAGATAACTGTCTACCCTTGTTTACATATATACAAGGACACTTTTACAGGCTCTTCTCACTCTGCCAAATGTGTGGCCCTAATAAATATACTGTATTACATGGAAAGAATGCAGGCATGAGATTTTGCTTTATTATGCAGGCCCCTTTCCTAAAGAGGAAGCTGAGGCAGGAGGGAGCTACACTTGGGGGACATTTTATTTGGTGAGGCCTTTTCTGCTAGGCTGAACTTTGTACTTCCTCACCTCATGGTCTGAGGGGGCGGAGTTTTGGCTTTAAATTAGTGCCAGCAGAAGCTCTACACCTCTTTCCTGAAAAGGAAGCTGAGGCAGGAGGGAGCTGCACTTGGAGGACATTTTTAATACATTTTATTAGTTTTTCACTCTATCTGCATTCAATTTGTGCTTGTCAAACAAAGTGTTACATGATTTGCTTACTATTGTTTGTTTTTT